TTCGGTGGGAGTGCCGATAAAGCAAACGTATGTTTGCTATAGAAATCGACAACGTTACTTATATTCGTATAAGAGTAGAGTTTCGAGACTACCAGTAAATCAGATAAGACCGATGCGAGGTCGAAACTGCAGTCCAGCCTGGATGAGAACAACTTTTGGGAAAGCAAGGCTATGTGAAATTGAATGGAAAAAGTCAGCTCAACTTATATCATTGTGGTTTTTGGGAAAGCAAGGCTATGTGAAATTCAATGGAAACGTCAGCTCAACTCATATCATTGTGGGAAAATCTTTGGGAAAGCAAGGCTATGTGAAATTCAATGGAAAAGTCAGCTAAACTCATATCTGCTATATCATATTCTTTTTGTGAAATTCAATGGAAACGTCAGCTCAACTCATATGATTGTGGGAAAATTCGTTGGGAAAGCAATACTATATGAAATTCAATGGAAACGTCAGCTCAACTCATATCATTGTGGGAAAATTCTACTTGCAAGGCTATGTGAAATTCAATGGAAAAAGTCAGCTTAACTCATATCATTGTGGGAAAATTCTACTACCATTCCTTCATCACCTTACACGAAATAGGGTGAATACATCTCATTACACTGATTTACTGGTAGTCTCGAAACCTTACTTGCATACGAATATGTTAATTTTTTATTGACTTTCACTGTGCCATGCAAACTTAGCAAATATATGCTCTCTTTGCATTGCAATATTTAGTCACATTATGCCTGCTCTCTTCTAAACGTAGAAACAAGTAAAACTTGTTATTCACTGAAGATTCAAGTACAGAACTGCTTGAAAATTGCCTTTAATACCCAATAAACCACATATACTCGCAGAGGACGCCATTCACATTTAAGGTTTGATTAAACCAACATGGTTACGAGAAGGCTTAAACGACGGAAGATGGACGTCAAGGCTAGGTTATATGCAGGAGAATCAAAGAGAAGTACGTGAATAGAACAAAAAGTTAGCCCCACCTGAAGGAAGATCCAATCGCCCGATCTGACTGCCACTTCCATCAGTTTCTCGGCCATCGGACCTTGTCCTTGGCCGAGTGAGACAGCCTGTACACGATCGGAGTAGTTCATTTCCTTAGCGAATCGCTGAAACTGCGACATTGGATCCGATCCGGTGGAGAGGACGAAGATCAGCGGAGTGACATTGTTCATGTCTTCATACAGAAGAGACAAATCAGTGGATGGTGGCTCGGTAAATTGCTGTCCAAGACTGGAACGAACAAACTCAGTGACTGCCTGCACGAGTCTTTCTTCACAGACACTGGCCACAACAAGTAGTTTCTGAAATCCCGTCAACTTGGCGTCCCAGTTCGGCTCATCTTGAGTGTACAGGCCTTCGGGTGTCAAGTCGAGACGGAAGACAGTGTTGGTCACCTCATCACTTCCCGTTTCGACAGCACATACTGTAGCTATCGGAACCGAGGCGTCTGGATGATCTTCTTCATCCGTTGTGGACGGGCTTGACGCTGCCGCCGATCTGCTTACCGAGTCCGAGGCTAGAGAGATCGAAGTGGAAGTAGAGATTTTCGTCTCTATGGTGATCCAGACGTGGGCTCGTTGAATGTCGTCCGGCAGAGTCTTGAAGGGTTCAGGGACGTTGTAGGCCAAGTCGACCAGCTGACGCCACTGCCGTGGCAGAAGCCAGGCGCGAGTCGAGGCGGGCTGTTCGGGACGCTGGCGATCGGCACCAGCCGCTCCCGTCAGCAGGTAAGACCATGAAGCCGAGTCTATCTGGCCCGCCTGTCGAAGGATTTGGACACAGAGCAGGAAGGAGAAAACCAATTTGTCACTCTCGAAAAGACCACGAGCCACGTTGTTGTAGGCGGCACGAGTAGTTTCAGACAGCAGAATATCAATTCTCTGTTCCAGCATGTCGGAACGAGGACTCTTCTCGATGGTTGAACTGAAAAGCTACAACAAAATAAAAGAAAGTGGTCAGCTCTAGCCTTCAGATAGGATCTACAGATTACCCCCAAGGATGGCCAAGGGGGAGGCTGACATGGAAGGTGATGGAAGCTAGGTAGAGGCGAAACGTTTGAGGATGTACCAATTCCACTATCTGACGCTGGGAATTATCACAACTACTATAGTAGACGACTTCGGACTAGGTGCGTTCTACTCATTCCCCTGACAACAATACCAAGTTGCGACAACGATTTAAGCCCACTTCTATAAGTAAAGTAGTTGATTGCTTTAGCAAATACAACTTTGCTCTATCGACAATTCCTCCACGGGAAGTGATATGCAAAAATGTCTGGTCTCCCTTGAAATTCACATCTGCCCTGTGACCCAAGGGTACTCATGGCAATGTGGTTTAGTGGTTAACGTCTCGACATTATACGCTGCACTGCCATGGTTCGAGTGCTGCTGGAGGTGTTGATGAGATATAGACGAGGTCGAAACTGCAGTCTACTTCAGCCTGAATGAGAATACTTTTAGGAAAATAAAGGGTATATTAAATTCCATGGAAACGTCATGTCTACCCATATCATTGTGAAAAAGTCAAATACCAGTCCTCCTATCACTCTAAACAAAATAGGGTGAGCACATCTCGCATATAATTCAATTCAGTCGAAGGCCTGCTACTAATTTAATTGGGAAAACTCAATTGTCATGTCTTCCATCATACAAAGTGACATGTGGTTACCAAATTACTTGTCCAAAATTTCTCCGTGCTTCTTTCAGACAACGATATTAAAAGTAGATGGCAATACAAAGCAAATCTAAAAAGTTTGTTCATTATGAGTATCGACAAAATTGTTGTAAAGCTTGAGTCTTTGACTGCATTATGATGGAGCTTCGATTATTTATTTGAAGCAGGCTTCCTCAATATTGGCTCATTGTAGCTCGAAAGAGCTGCCGGCTCCGTCCTGGGACCTATGAGAACCCCATCAAGAGGTTTTCACCGGGATGGAATCAGACAAATTTGATAACCAGTTAATCATCTCACTTCGACTGTAGAATGGCAAAGGCGAAAATACCTCATGGGAGTAACTGAAATTATCGATCACTAAAAGGTGTCAAACCAATCTATTCCAACTTGTGGAGCGTAGTACATTAATACCTTATACTATGGTGGGTGATAGAGACTTTAATCAGCCCAGAAAATATGGGTCATTTTACTTTGAGAAAACTAATTGATCAAAAGTTAGCGATAAACAGATGATTCTAGTACTCCTGAACGTCAGATAGTAGGCCTAGAAATTGTCTTACACGTTATTTCATCGCAATTAATGCAATACGTTATGATTTAATACGGCGTTGTGTGGTAAAATGTGAAACAAAAAGAACTAGAGGTAAGTAAATAAAAAACCATAAATTGAGAAAATGTTAACATAATAACACTTCAC